TGTTCCTGTACCAGAACTCCCAAATCCCTTTGATCAGTGGCGTGCGGTAGTATTCGGTTCTTCAGAACATGGAGAAACGGGTCTTATGCCGCGTGAAAGTAACTCTGCATTTGGAAACGTTGAACTCGATGTCATTTTTGCTTGACCATCGGTGGGCTGCATCGATCGTTTGTTGGAGTGCTATATAATACTCAGGATGTGTTACAGTTCTCCAGATCTTAGCGTCGTCCGCAAATTGCAGTGTATTAGGCCCAAGCATCTGTGGCAGGTCGGTTGTAAATGCCAGAAAGAGACGAGGCCCCAGTACCGATCTTTGAGGAACCCCTCGGGCAGCGGTGATAGGCTCTGATAATGAATTACCAACACGAACTGACATGGTCCTTTGTCGGAGAAATTCCTTGATCCAGTCCAGAACAAAACCTCTTACTCCGTAGTCGTACAATTTTCGCAGAAGTACTTGGTGGTTTACTCGATCAACTGCCTTTGAGAAGTCCAAATAAGCTATATCCAACGGCTGGCCTGCATCGACGGATTTTGTTTTGCACGAGCGCTGTGACGAAATCCGTGCTGAGTCGGAAACAAAAGCTGATGCTTCCCCAGATATTCCATCAACTTTCGACAGTGTCGGAAGAAGTGTAACAGGGCAGTAGTTGGTAGGATCACTGTGATTTCCCCCTATGTAAATGGGGGAAATCACCCCTTCCTTCCATGATTGCGGAATCACCGCTTGGTAGAACATCCTTTGGTAAAGAACAGTCAGAGGTTCGGAAATGTTATTTGCTAGCGATATCAGAGTCCGGGGAAGCATGTTGTCTGCTCCTGGGGATGAATTCTCACGCGAAGCTAGTAGTTTTGCTCTAACCTTCTCACTGTCAAAAGCCATGTTACCCAGTGACGGATACGGTATACAGGGTAGTTTGCTTGGAATCTGTAATGCTCCGTGTGTCGTTACAATAAACATCTGATCGAACCGTTTTTTTATGAACTCTGCTGCTTCTAGAGTAGTGGTTGAAACATATCCAGACGATCTCATTGCTGGTATTCCGCATTTCACCTTCCTTGTAGAGTTGATATGTTTAAAAAGCAATTTTGGGTCAAAAATGAATTTTCGAGCCAGGGTTCCTTGGTAGATCAATTTTTCCTCTCGTACAAACTTGGTGCACTGATTCCGCAGTATGGAATAATTGTTCCAAGTTTCGATAGATAGACATCTGTAATCCCACCAGGAAAAGTTCCTTTGCTCTATCCCTTTCTTTGTTCGATTGCGAATGAATGAATGACGAGTTTTAGATTCAGCACAATTTTTTATACTTTTTGCAGCCGCAACAATTTCGGTAAGATAATCAGTGAAGCTCTTCCATGCCACGAAAGAATCGTGATCGTCTTCCGAGAGGACCTATTGCTTAAGTATTGCCAGGTTTTGCAGCATTTTGTATTCTATGATGACACAAGTACTGCTCTTTCGGTTTTCTTGGGTAGAGGCGTAGCCTATATAATCAAACTTCAATACGGCATGATCACTACGTCCTAGTGGAGGCGTGACACTGACAGATTCCACCATTAGCTCCTCGTTAGTCAGCACTAAATCCAATGTTGATGGTACGTGCCTGCTCCAAATCTGATGGGTTCTGTNTACAATGGGTGCAATCCAGTGAACTGAAATAATTGTCTCTCGAATGGCTGGCGGGAAGCCCTCGTTCTGATGAGATTGGGGCAGTGAAAGTCACCCATTATGAGGACATGGGTGAACTTCCGTGATAATGCATTCCTCATGGTTTGCAACAAAATGTCGTTGGCTGAGTCAGAAGATGCGGGAGATCGGTACACAACACTGATTAGACACATCTCGTTTTTGGAGAGTCTTACTAAACACCATAACAAATAGGGGGCTGCGTCCTGGAATATCAAGGTGTTCACACTGTAAATTGTTTCGATGATAAAGCAGTACTCCACCGCCTCGTGTGGGACGATCACATCTGAGCAGCGATATTCTTGATAGACCCAATTCCGAGTCGAGAATGTCGGTGGTCAACCAGTTTTCAGTAATGGCAACAATGTGAAATCGATTAGTTTTCCAACGGAGTTCCATCTCAGAGAATTTGCTAAGGTAACCTCGTGCATTGGTATAAAAACACGAAAGATATCTTCGGTAAAGAAATCTACATGGTTGCTCTGACAGATTTTCCGGTATTTTCTAACCCTAACATATACACTTTTTGTCTTGCCTTAACTAACTAACTTAGCTTCTTTTTGGAGGTTTGCAGTCCACGGGAATGTGATCGCTTTCTTCTCTCCTTCTGAAACAAATGCGACGAAGAAAGGAACGTGCATTTAAATCTGAGCACTATCATGTGATGAAAATCCCACCAACGTCATAAGGTGGAAACTTGCCGCCTGAATTTTGTTTATGCTGATCTTTCAAACAAAAGTCCTCGAGACTCGTGATGAATGCTTAATTAGTTATGCGGTTCTTCGACCTAAGAGCACTCTCCATATGGGGATATTAAAAATTTTAAATGTGGATTTATCAGAATTGCTAATCCCAGGTATNTTCAAAGGTCTGAGCTCCTCCAGTGCATTACACCAGTCCGTAGGTGATTGATTCGACAGAAATATATGCAGGGTTAAAAACATTAAACCATCAAAAAACTGGTGGACCAGATGGATTACATCCAATTGTGTTGAAGGAATGTGTCGGTGCCCTTTACTCTAGCCTTTTCAAAATATTCAATCGTTCTATTTCCCAACGTTAAATACTGGGTCGCTGCAGAACAGTCAGCAGTATACCACTTCCTAAGACAGGTTCCATAAAACTTCGTACCGTAGACTGTACTTCTATCACCCTGATGGTATTTGAGAGAATAATTTTACGAAAGTTAACCCCTCACTTTCCCCTAACTGATGATAAGCACTTTACCTATTGTCCTGAACGGTCTCCTCTGGATGCTCTAGCTTCCTTGGTGCATTTTATTCTAGCATTGCTCGATAATAAGTTTAAAGTTGTAACAACCTGTTTTGGAGCTGATGATAGAGTTCGTCTTCTGTCTATTCCTGAAAGATACGGATTCTGTTCCTCTATTATTATCCGCTTAAAGGATCATTTTTCCTTTGCAAAACAATTTAAACACTACGGTTGCAAAGCCTCTATAACACCAACGTCCGAATTAGGAGTTCTTCAGGGAGTCCTTTCGTCTCATTTCTCATTTTCATTTACTTAGCTTTTATGCCTGTTTGCAATGACTTATTGCTGATCAAATACGCTGATAACATTATCTTCGACTTACCCAACACCAACCATTCTGTTCTCCCTATTATCCAGCTAGGTGTAACACAACTTAACGAGTGGTCTTCTACACATAACCCTTCCATGAACCCAAATAATTTGTTGATATTTTATCTTCTCTCCGTAGGGGGAAATGACAATTTGATTCTTTTGATATGTGCAAGCCGTTACTCATTAACGATACATACCTCAGTCGAGGAACATCAGTTAAATACTAAAACCATTCCCTTGCTTGATCTGAGTACATCAACAATGTTTTTGCAATAGTCAGAGCACCTTAGTTTTGCGTTCTGCGCTTCAGATGACTATCCACTCCCTTCCATCTGAGAAGACGGTTCGTACAAGTCTGCATCTCACCTCACCGGGTCTATGCTTCCCCATTGATTTTTCCTGGTTTATTACAAAACGATATGCATCATGTCTAGCTCACTTGGAAAGTTGTCCATGTGTTGTGGCTTATCTAATTGCTTACCTAGAACTCACATAATTCACACAGATTGTCTCCTGACACACCAAAGCTTGTAATAAACTAGCTCATAAAACCTGTCTGATTCCTGTCTACCCCCATAAACCCTGCATTGTATAAAAATGTATTTCAATTCCCTCGACTCGCTTTAAGTACAAGAACGTTCAGGTACACACAAAAGCGTTCAATTTCTTCATATTTCTTTTTTGTCCGCTTTCTATGTCACGTACCGCATTCTACAGGATTTGTCTACAACTTTGCGCTAACTCCGTAAACCTATTGTGTCTATACGTCTCTCCATTATTTAGACATTTGGCAGTTGGATTTTGTAATAAACATATTACTTGACTTGACTGTAACTTTTTCCCCACATGGCTCCTATTTTTTAACCGAAGTTTCCCGTCTTCTATCAGCAATTCTATATCTCTGATACCATGCTTTTCCCAATTTGTTGATAGATATATAGTATATTAATAGTACATTTTTCCGGCTTGCTTCCTTTATGGTCCCTCCTTGCTCTCTCTGGACCGTGAAACTGAACCAACTCCTGCGTAGAACATTGCCCCTCTTCACTATCGAGCTACTGTGACTGATTATCCAATCTCTTACGTACCGATATCCCCGTAAATTTATTGCATTACATTTGCTGACCACCTCGTGAACGTTACTCATGGACATTGTGCACTTCGATTATGCGCTTGAAACCTGATTGCCTCAAAGCTGAAGTGTGCTATTTCACGTGTACATTATTCATTTCTATGTTACACTCAGGCTGCAGATTCTTCGTTATCTCAAATCGAACTTTTGGTTCGTATCTATGCGTTACTGACCCAGTGAGCAACAACCCGGTGCATAATTCCTATGATGTAGAATATTGCGTCTGAATGTGAAATGTTCAGATAAAGAACGACAAAGAATCTGACCTGAGCCAATAGAATATGCCCTTCGACCCAGGTCTCGTCCAATTCCAAGCATGCCTTGACACTGCTTAGTGCCGTGATCGAATCCCCAAGCAGATAGTGCACGTACGCTTGCAGATAAACCGCAATTTGGATACCCGGGGCGGTTGAGATCACAGGTTCGAGTACTTTTAAACAACGCATTAATATTGGATCGTCCTGACGTCGATTAGTACCGGTCGGAAGCCAACTGGACGAGGGTGGTTGTTGTGGAGCTTGATATAGATATTCGGTGACCAGCTGCACGATAAAATCTACGTTCAAAGCTCCAAAATACTCGAAGCTCATTTGGATATTCTGAAAACCAGAAACGAGAAACAAGTAAGCGGGAATTGAAAGCATTTATGAAAAATTTTTCAAATCGGCAGCACTGGTATACAGTTAACTGTGGTATGATTACTATAATGGATTGACAAATTTGCTTCGGTTTTCTGAACATTGTTCAATGTAGCAGTCTAGGTTCAGATGATCTTTCTGCGGTCTAAAGTAACCCAATGGTTACAGTTTCTCAAGAAGAATCAAACGGAGAATATTTCACCCTTTCACTGAGTAGAAACAATAACCCCAATATCATTTAGGTACAATAGTTTGCACGGCAGTTCACATAATGGGATGAAGAAGATTGAGCGTTTTCATAATCGGCTTAGACTGATAGTTGCAAACATTAGCCAGCTTGCTACTTATTGAAAACGAAAACTCTTGACAAAGTGGCATAATAGCAGAACCATAAACGTCAGAAATCGTCACTTAAGAGATGCCACATGGGGAAGGAAAATTGCCTATTGTCGAGTGGAACGTTCCTTTTCCCTTGTACCAATAACAGCAAGACTGTGAAAACAAAGAAAGCACTGACAATTCCTAAATACCGCCCCGAACCTCACACATTTTGAGTGATCAAATCACTTAACCTAGGCTTCATTGCCAAGAGTCCTCTTGTTTTCCATGCATATTATTCAACCTTTTGATATACTTGGAAGTAGTGATGTTTGCCGAGGTAGGTAATCGGAGTATAAAAGCAGTGGTGATCAAACTACGAGTTGGCATGAGGGTATGAAAGCCGTAAACAGGAAACTCAGTCACATAGGTTGCGTTAGGCTTCCTGGATAGAGATCTCGGGATCAGCGTAACCGATGGTTAGACACTGAGTGGTATGGCTGAGAGTCGCAAGCCATGACGCTCGTGAATCTTCGCAGTCTCTTTGCAACCCTAGTTTACCTTAGTTTATCTTTGACACTGCTTCCGACATTTCAATCATCCCTCTCAGGTTTCGGTTTTAGCTTTCACAACCATTAACCATGCACTTCCATGCACCGGTTTCGGTTGCTGCTTTTTGGCTGCCCATTTGGATAACAGAGCAGAATGAGGATTGGAATGTTGAGAGTAGAGTCAAAGTGAAGATAAGGAATTCATATACACTATGGTTGCGAGAATAAATGGGTAGGTGCACGAGCGTCTCTATTTGCGACACTGAGCCATATCACTGTGTCTCTAACTACCGGCTACCATGACCTCGGGATCCCTGAAAGACAGCAACCGAAACAGCCTCGAGAGATTGCATGCTCAATGGTCACAAAAAATTAAAGCAGAGGTTGAATTAACATGACCGATAAGGTTAACACCGCAATCACTGTGACCTATGAAATGTTTATGAAAGCTGATGACCTGAGTTTTAGGAATTTGGTTCATAAGTCACATAAAACATAAAGTTGAATGTGATATTCATTAACAAAATAGAAAACTGCCTACCCCAATTTTGAGGTTCACTCTTCCAACCATCGGAAACCGATAAACTTAGTAGGATAAGCAGTGAGAGGGGGAGTCTCATGAGAATGATGACTCATTATTATTTCATGAATAAGGCCCAAAAGCGATAACGGTATTGTTGAACCGAACGATAGCAAAGCTGTCTACTCTAAATTTGAGTGCTAGTAGCAAGATTCGAACCTCAGACCTTAGGACCAGAGGCTCGACCGTGACTGTCGCTGAAACCAGCTGATCGCCACCACCAGACTGCCATATTCATTGTGCACTACCTTTCTGTCGGCCTAAAATCAGTCTTTTCCTATTGATAACTACAATACCAGATGTTTTCAAATGAGCGAAATGCTTTACCAAACACTGAAACTGGAAAACCCGGAATGTGCTAGCAGTTGACGGAAAAACAATTACGTTAAAAATGATTTTCAACAGATTTGAGTATGGGTGTGGTTTGTAGCTCAGGTTGATGGTTTGTGGGGTCTTGTGTTCGCTGAGCTTGGCGTTTAAATCGCAAACGTTTCATCACCAGCCGAGGTGACATCGTCAGTGCGTTGGTAATGATCCCTGTACTTGTCTTTATTTATAGCATTCCAACCCTAGGTTTGACCTTTAGAATTGTTCTCGCTGTTGACCTTGAAGACGGTACTAAATTTGGTAACTTGACCTTTGATGGTTGCTATAGAGATGACCTTTGCGCACCAAGGTTACTAGATTTAGTAAATTGACCTCTGACTATGACCTTGACCTGTCGGAGTTACTAAATTTAGTAGCATTTGTACCAAACCTTTTCCATTGGTTAATAGTTTGAAATTTTTTTTGCTTGAGAATAAATTTGAAGGTTCTTTTGTGCATGGTATTTGGGTTTCTGGTCATGGGCCGGTGGGCATTGAACCGGTCAACTCCTCTTCTGTTTCGTGGATAAGTTGGAGACCTTGCGCCTCAGCAGATTGTAACCTGGGTCCAGTTCGATGTGTCTACTGATTGAGTTTGTTGATGAATGCCATGCTTCCAGGAATTCTCTTGAATGCCTTGTGCTCGCGTGATCCAGAATGTGAAAGTTGTCCAGACTGAACGTATGTCCTTCTTGGTCCTCATGAGCGGAAATCAATGAAAGAGGGTCATCTCTTCTTATCGCAAGTTTGTGTTCATGAATTCTTGTTGCAACGTTTCTTCCAGTTTGTCGAATGTAACATTTTTCACAATTGTTGCATTCGATTTTGTAGATGACATTTCTTCGCTCGTCCTTTTTGATTTGTCCCTTCGGTCTTGAAATGTTTCTTCTCATGGATTTTGTAGGCTTGTGGGCAATTTTGTATGGCAAACTTTCAAATAAATAACGATAATTTTGGCTTCAGTTGTTTAAGTAACTCGGTATGATGAAAGAAAGGGAAGTCCTTTCCCCAAACCATGAGCGATAGATTGTTTTCCTAGGCTAGTAACAAAACCAAAAGATATTTAATGAATGACAATAAGCGAAATACCGCTAGCATGGGAAAATGCCATTACCAGGGTTTCTGAGTGGTTACGTAACTTAATATAAGAGATAATACTTCGCATTGACGATCTCATGTCAACTGCTCTCCAGTTTAAAACGACGTGTCCGAAGCGAAAGGACAAAGCTTTTAAGGATCACGTATGCCTGCCAAGATGATGTAAAGATAAACCTGTCTGTGCACAAAATATGTCCTGATCGATCTATAAATATTCAACTAAAGCACTTTATTCTTCATTTATTTTGATTTTCGAATAACTTATGAATGAATGCAACCACCTAAAGGGACAATCCTATAGAATTCATAAAGGAGTACAAACTCATTCAGTGTTTTATAATTATAATTTGAATTTAGGGTCTGCCGAGAATTCACAAGCGGGAGAATCCACATCTTCCCATTATGGTGATGACATATTCGGTCTACTACGCAACTGCAAAGTGTTTGGTTGACGCTCTGAAACCAGTGAGCCAGAGACTTTCGGAGCAAACAGTTACAGTCAAATTAGGATTCAACGCTTGAATCAAGAATACAAGTTTTAAAAAGAAGTAAATTTGTCACTATCAATTGTTT